TGCTTAAGTGCAGGAAGCTCTTAAAGATTTCTCTAGTATGAATGTAAGTTAAATAATAACACAAAAATGAAGATATGTTTGTACTTCATCTTTTTGAGATGGTACTTTTGCTTAGCTGATGAGCTTTGGGCCGCAGGCTGTTTGTCATGTCTATCTGTACCTTTCTGTAAGTGCACCAAGAGCGATTACTTTCTACGCCATTTATGAGTTTTCTTCAAACTTAATTTTTTGGCTTGCCATGTGTTTGTCAGAAATCACTATCAGTTTTTATTTGGCATTTGTGCATGAGCTTTGCTTTTGGACAAATGCTGCTCCATGTTCCATATGCTCCTGCTCTGCTGTGTTTGCCCAGTAAGTAAGCACACCAGTTTTGTTTTATCTTGCATTATTGTGTGTGATCTTCTTTTAGTTAAGTGCCTACCGTGATGTCTTATACATATTCTGCTTTTTTTTTTTTTGGTTGCTCTAACAAATTCTTCTGTTTTCTGTACTTGTCATAATTGCAATGGTTGTAATTACTTCTTGGTTTCTTTTGCTTCTGCAAGGCTGCTGAAAGCAAATCTGCTGAGGTTCTTGACAGTGTTGTGGCAGATCTGGTCCCACGTGCTGCAGAGAGTGAAGAGCTTCCTCTCATGGCTTACCAGATTGACCGCTCTGTGATACTCTCGCTGCAAACATATAAAATGTAGCTCTGGTATGGTATCAGCTCTTGGATTACAGCTGAGCTATTTGACAGCTGCTGGAATGCCTCTCTGATCTCCAGTACGGTTCCTGTTTTCCTTTATAGTTAGTGATTAATTAGCACTGCGCGTACCAGAGTTGTTTCCCTACTCTGGATGCTGCGTAGAAAATCTTTTTCAGAATGTGTCGAACCTGAGCAAAGTGTGCTCCAAGAATTCCTGGGGCATTCGGGGCATTTAGACACTGCCTGGTGGCACAGGGCTGAGATGGTGATGAAGCAAAGCACCAGAAATGGGCTTCACAGCTGCTGGGTTCATTTAGTGGTTTTCCTTCCCTTGCTGCTGTGGATGCTGTGATTGCTGGTCCTGTTGCCATTTTTCTTTTTTTGTCCATAAATTCTATATGAGGCATATCCTAGAAGTGCAGCAACAGCTTTTTAAGAATGTGAGCTTGAAGTGTCACTACTGGAGACCAAATTGAGCAAAGTAGTTGCAGTTGCAAAGTAAATTTAAAAGGGAGGAGGCTAAAGAGTGATTGTAGTTTAGAAAGAAAGCAGATTGGAGGTGGACGATCACTAGAGGCACTGTGGGGACCATACTGCTCTGGTGATTTCCAAGTCAGTGGACTCTGAACGTTACGTTCCTTCCACCAGAGCAGAGCTTTAGGGGCGAAAGTTTCAGACAACAGAAATACTTGCCAGAGTTTCTTTCAGTGCTAGAGAGTGTCCTCGTATCTCAGTTGCTTCTGTCTGTCGGTGCATTAGCTTAAAATGCTGCCCTAAGTGGTGTTCTTGCTAACAAACTGCATTGGACCTGCGTTTACTTTTCATTCAAGTTTCCAGAACAGGAGCAGAGCAGAAGTTCAATGTGCTACAGGAGAAAAGATCCATGCTAAGCTGCCACAACAGGTTTCGCAGTGAGGGCGAGTCAGACCTTTTTAGCTCAGAAGTGTTGTCTCTGGTTCTCTTTTTACCAAAAGGTTCTGAAATGGCTTTCATCATTCAATATTTAGTTCGTTCCAGCTATCTTCTATCAAGGCAGGGGTTACTTTAAATGTTTGTTTGCAATTCAGAGTGTTGTCCTTTTGATGTTGTTAAGCTGTGTGGTGTTTGGAGTACTTTGAATATAAATTGGAGTACTTTGAATATAAAACAAGCATAAATTATTCACTATTTGTTGGTTGATATTGTATTACCTTTTTGTAGCAATGTTTACAAATAGAGGGAAACCTGCAGGTTTTCTCAGATCAGCTCCTTGTCTTGTATGTGCATAACATCTCTTCCAGGATGGGCTGCTCCACGATCTTCCCAGGCACAGTGGTGAGGCTCACTGGGCTGTAGGTTCCCAGACCTTCCTTTCTCCCTTTCTTAAAAGTGAGAGTGATGGTTCCCTTTTTTCACTCGCTGAGGACACCCCAGTCAGCTGTGGTTATTTTTTTCCTTGCAGTTCTCTGGAATGCATGTTGTCTGGCCCCATGTTCTGTATGCACTCAGTCTTGTGAGGGGGTCTCAGACAGGCTCTTCTCTTACAGGGGGGGGATTTTACTCACCCCAGTCCACATGCAGAGAGTTCAAGACATGAAGTATGTGGGAAGCCTGACTGGCAGTGAAGGTTGAAACGGAGAACTGTTGAGTACCTCAGCCTTCTCCATGTTTGTAGGAGCTGGTTCTGCCTCCTCGTTTATCTGTGGAGGTATGCTCTCCTTGGCCTGTCTCTTCTGACCATTGTACCTGTAGAACCCCTCATTATTTGTCACATCCCTCCTCAGGTTCAAGTCCATCTGCACTTTGGCTCTCCTGATCACACCATACATGTTTGGTTGGTGTTCCTGTATTCTTCCCAGGCTCCCCATCCTTGCTTCCAGACCTTATGCACGTCCTCCTTACCCTTGGTCTGACCAGCAGCTCCTTGCTCAGCTGTGACGATTTCCTGCCTCCTCCAAGTTCCTGTGCTCTCAGGAAGGCATCCTTAAAGAGCTGCCAGTTCTGTTCCATTCTCGCCTCCCTGAGGGCAGTTTCCCAGGGAATCCCATCCAGTCCTTAAACAATTGGAAGTTTGCTGTCCTGAAGCTCAGATCCCTGACTGTTCTTTCTCAGACTCACAGCCCTCGCTCAGCCAGGGCACAGCAGCTACAGTGCCTCTGATCTTATCCCCTGTAATGATCCCTCTGTGTTGGTGAGCACCAGGTCCAGCAACACTTCACCTCTGGTTGGTCTGGGCAGTACGTGGAACAAGAAGTTATCCTCAATGGACTCCAGGAGTCCCCTGAATTGCTTGCAGCCCACCATGTTGCCTTCCCTCCTGCTCCTGCCCCGGGGAATCCCTTCTGAAAAGCACGCAGCTCTCAAATGTAGTATTCCAGTGTGTGATTTTGTGTTGTGATTTGCAAATACTGTGTTTTCATGAAGGCTCACAGTTATTGAGAGGCTTAACAATTAACGTTTTATTGGCGTGGTGGAGTGGTGTAAGAAGGATCTTAGCGCAGTCGTGACTCACATCTTTGTGGAACTTTCTGCAACTGGTAAAGCAGGGTTGTATTAGCTTGTGCCATAGGGAATTTCTGGCTGTAAGCTGTGACAAAAGAAGAGGAAAAACAAACAAAAAAATGGAATAAATCTTGAAAGAATAATTCTTTAGAAAAAGAATTCTCAGCTCTCAGACTGTCACATTGTTGGAAATATCCAAGTCACGTTTGTCAGGACGGTATCTCTGGTAACAACAGAATTTATTTGCGGTTGCAATGGCGGCGTCCCGCAAGCAGGAGCGCCTATGGACACAACATGGCAGCCTTTAGACCCTGTTTGCTCCCCCTTGCCTCCCCCTTGCCTCCCCCGTTTCCCCACTGGCTGCGTACTCCAGGTTCACAATCTTACAGAAGGTTGACATTTGCTATTTACTTGTTAATTTATTTGTTACCTGCTGTCAGTCAGCAGCCGTGCTGTTGTTTCCAAGCTGTCTCGGTGCTCTCCTTGCCGTATTGATACGGCGATTTTCTTTCAAGTCTGCGTTAAACAAAGAGCACCGGGGATGATGCCAGGCCTGCCGATGTCTCTTCAGGCGCTTCCTGGGGCAGGCCATGGCTGTTCTCTGGTTTGCTCTCGTGCAGGATATTCCTGCAGCGTGTGACCAAATGTACAGATATACACCTCTATACAGAGTGTGCGTGCCTGGGAAGGTTCGTCTAGAGGATCAGTGATGCAAACTATCAGAGATCTTCCCCAAATTAAGTAGAGGGACTCCCAAAAAGAACTATGATAGCAGAGATCATGACATAAAAATAATATTATCCAATTCTAATGCAGAAACAACATTTAATTCCCACAACATCTAGGTTCATTTCAGAAGTTTTATGAAAATATGTTCTGTCAGGGTCTTGATTTATTTTCTGACTGCCTTTAATCTGTCTTTCTGAAGACCAGATGGTTGAGTCTGTTGTTGGGGCTGTTGGAATAGGCACTCCTAGGAACAGCACAGTTGCCTCGTGTCTGCAGTTGATGCTTTGTTATGAAATTTCTCTTCCCAAAGCTGTTGTATTCTGCTTTTTGCTCTTCCCACACCATGATTGCTCTGTTTCTGAATTTACATCAGTAAGAGCTGTTCTGATATCCTTTGATAGAAGCAATGCCACCAATCTTACCTTCAGTTTTTAGCTATCTTGATACGCCTTTCAAATGATCCTGTGTTCTTCAAAGAGTTACTGGACTTTGAGGTGCCTTGTTGCAGTCTGAATAGTGGATTGTCTTATCTTTTTTCTGAGCTGGGACAGGGAGAGATCTGCAGATCCTTATCGTCTGAGGCAGAGAACAAGAGTAGAAGCATGTCTCTGAAGGTCTCTGGAGTTCATCTCATTTCAGAGTCTTCTTTTGCTTTGTAGTACAGGAGCAACAGAATTGAATGAGGCTTCCATTTGTATTCCAGAAAGCATTTTTCCTACTTTGTTTTTAAATGACATTGCTGCTTAAAAATATGGTTCAAAGCAATGGTCTGTGGAATGGGAGCAAATGGTTCAAGGTCTGTGTGCAGGGTGTGCTGCTGTGCTTCAGTCTGTCTCTTTGGAAGACACTCATTTCAAACATGTTTTGTTACGTCCTGCTGGGAATGAATCTCCAGTGTTGTCTTTGGGGGTGGTCACAGTAGGTCACAGCACATAGGCATGCAGGTGCATATTAATTGAAAATGGTCAGAATTTCATGCACTTCAACAACAGAAGTCATATCAAACGTTCTCTTCCAAAGAAAGCTGAGTGAAACCTGTGAAACTCAGTTTGCTGATGCTTAGGCTTGGGAATGTTTCATGTCTGAACACTTTTTTCCCCTTTAGGTCAGTGGCATCAAGAACCTCTATGAGTCTGAACTGGCTGATGCTCGAAGAGTTCTGGATGAAACAGCCAAAGAGAGGGCGAGGTTACAGATTGAGATAGGAAAACTGAGGGCTGAACTTGAGGAGTTCAATAAAAGGTAAGGAAAATCTTACGTGATACATTGTGGGTTTTTTCTTTAAATGATGAATTGATAATCTGCGGTGGGAACCACACTGCTGTTGCCTCTTAGAATGCCTTAGTGGGTGTCGTGAGGAAGTGATGCAGGCTTGTCAGTGGAATTCCTCAGGTGTTATAGCTAGTACATTCACAGATCTATTTGTAGATAGAGGATGAATAAACTGCGAGTCGATGGGCTGTTCACACTGCAGACGTTAAAACAATCAGTCCTGCCTCCTTCCATCCTGGTCTCTTTGTTTCTCTCTCTCCCTCCCCCCCCACGGATTGTTTTGTGTGCCGCTTGTAGTTAAGACAGCCATCAAGGTTGTCTCCGTTGTCCTGGAGGCAACAAATCCTTTGCTTGATTGTGTTTTAAAGCAATTTCCAAAAGTGAACTGCAGCAGGAACTGTGGGAATTTGGCTCCATTATCCTCCCTTCACTTCCCAGCTAGTGAGAATCGCTGCAAGTTGATCTCTGTTTTTTAGGCCTTTGCTAATACTGAGAGATTTTACAAATACCCTGTTGTAAAACACCGTGCACTTGAACTGCTGCTGCTGCTTTCTTTGGGTCATCTCCCTTGCCCTGTGTTTGGGTGGTTGAGTTGTCCCTCATCAGTCACTTCGGGGACTTGACAGGGTAATTCTACCAGCCTCTTTCAAACGTACTTGGTATTCTGAGATACACTAAATATGAGAAAAGTGTGCCAGGTTTCCTGTCCTCTTAGTTCATAATAGAACTGAATTATTTCTTGGCTCAGAAGTTTCTTTTAGCAGATTGCTTTCAGTCCCTTGAGGTGTACTTGCAGAATCTTGCTGTGCCTGGTGTAATACGTACAGAAAGTCACGCCTGGGACGTACAGCCCGACTTTAGATGCAATTCTTGAAAACGACTTTGTGTCTGTTTGCACAGGGTTCCTTGACAGGCAGCAAGTGGTGAAGTCCTCCCTGCACACTGTCCTGCTCACCTCCCAACCTTCAGTGCTTTGTGCTTGAAGGAGGAGGATGGTGATGTGTAACACTGTGTTTGCTACAACTTCCTCAGTGTCTCTTTCAAGTTCACTGCATGGTTGACCCAACTCCTGAAGGGTTGGGGAGCAGCAAGAACTTGGCTGATACACGAGGATTTGTGACAGGTTATGGTATAGAAAGCATATGGTTTTCCTGCAGTGTACAGGACTTCAGAGCTGTTATCTTTCTGCCATGTATGTGCAGCTCGTTGATGACAGATGATGACAGCTGTTGTCACCCAGTGTTCTCCATGTGTACAGATTATTCTTTTGGGATCTTGGATGCCCTGGCACATACTTTGGTCATTTTGTTTCTTTATACTTATCTGCCATGTATGATGCTGATCTGATGTTTTCTGAATTTTTTAGTACTTAGGGTAATTTGGCAGTAAGAAGCATCCCAAGCTATTGTTTAGACAATGGGCAGTTGTCAAATAGACAGTAGGCAAAAAAAATCAGCTCCAAAAGGCTGCACTTTGAAGCCAAGTTTGAGATTGAGTGGTACTTTTTACATATTGAGAGTTATATTGTGATTGTTTGTCTGCCTTAGGAGTGAGAACAGCCTGGAAAGAAAAAGGAGGTACAAGGCCAGTAGGATGAGTCAGAAGCTCCCAGGCTTTGGAAGGTTCTAGGGCACAGAAGTGATAACAACTATAACAGTTGTTAACCATTACAGGACTCGGGAGCTGCCCTTTGTCAGCAGTACCTGAAGGGAGCCTAGAAATGTCGTGGCTCCAGACTCAGAATGCTGCGACTCTCCATCGTGGAAGAGAAGTGATTTGTTGCCATCATCCTTTTTCACAGGAAAGCACTTCCCTGGGCAAGGCTCTCTTCTTTAGGAAGGGATTCATAGTTCTCGGAGGGAACTGAAGGGAACATACTGGTCTGGAACCATCAGAGAAGCGACTGCTTGTGGGCTTCTGTGAGAGATACGTGTGCTCTGCTCCTTGGGAGCTTAGTCCAAATGTTTCCTCTATGAGATGAGGAAATGCTCTTTAAGGGATTGTTTTTGCCCTTGCCATCCAGTAATGAACATGTCAGCTGGGCAATACATACACAGAACATTGTTCTAAAACTCCATTTGTACCAGGCTTATAATTATTTTAAGTAACTGTAGTTGCAGATTACTCCAGAGCCACCTGCTGGTACAATGACTGCATACCAAAACATCTGTAACTGTAACCAAAGTATTCTCCAGGTGTGTGTGTGCACCCATGTGTAAATATGGTAACTTTTGTTTGTTTCAGCTACAAAAAGAAAGATGCAGATTTGTCTGTTGCTCAAGGTCGCATTAAGGATCTTGAAGTCCTCTTCCATAGAAGCGAAGCAGAACTCAATACTGTTCTGAATGAGAAACGCAGCCTGGAGGCAGAGGTGGCTGATCTGCGTGCCCAACTTGCAAAGGTATCGCAGTGGGTGCTTGCTTGCTTGAGCACAGCAGGAGTTACTGCTTGTGAAATCTGTTGGGACTTTGCTCTTAGTTTGTCTGAACATCATTGCTTCAGCTCCCTTCTGCTTAACCTTTCCCTGCCCCTCTTAGATGTGGAAATAAATGAAGAGGTCTGTAAAACAAGCTAAGTATTAAGGTGTGTTAAAAATATTGATAGCATAAAGATTGGTGTGTTCCTGGTTACTTAATGTTCTGCTTTGTAACATCCTGCGTAACTTTAATTTATGATGAAGTATCCAGAGGAGCTGTGTTGTCAAGAAAGAGAAGAACATACAGTTCATCCTTGAGAAGTTAATAATCTTTGGATTCGTTATCAAGCTACACTGAAATAATCCTGTGTTTTATAGGTGGGGTAGAATCACAAAAGCTTTTCTAAGTATCCATACATGCTCACGCATGCATTTTCCTTTTTTTCTTTTTCTTTACTTTTGTAATAGCTTGAGATGAGATTTATTGTTGTGTGTTGTTGATCCAAAGATGTCAACTGAAGGCTGTGAAGGGCTCGTAGATGGGGAGAAAAGGGATCCAGTCAAAATTAAATACTTATCTTTACAATTCTCTACCAGGCTGAAGATGGTCATGCTGTGGCTAAGAAGCAGTTGGAGAAGGAGACACTTATGCGTGTGGACCTGGAGAATCGGTGCCAGAGCTTGCAGGAGGATCTGGATTTCAGGAAGAATGTGTTTGAGGAGGTAGAACCAGCCTTGTAATTTCATTATATTCTGAAGCTTATGTAGTTCTTACTCAGACAGACCATAAACAATTTCTAATGAGACCAGGTAGTGAAAATCAGTATTATTTCATCTTTGCTGTGAATCAGCTGATTTTAAAGGTTGTGTAAGAGTTGCATAGCAGATCAGTGGCAGAACTAGCATAAAAGCAAGTGACGAGGGTATTATTGTTCTGTGGGTTAACTTAACAGCTTGCTTCTGCTTGAGAGGGAATGTCCTATTCCCTCTTTACACAGACTGCGTGGCCCTGCCCCTGGTTTGCTGTGGTGTCTGTTAGAGCTGACTGTAACCTGTTTCCATTGGTGAGAACACTGCACCAAAAACTGCTTTTTGCTGGGAGTAAAGCAGTAGTTTTGTAAACAGTAGGAATGCACAGATGGGGATTGGGAGGAATGGAGAAAGGAAGCGTGGCCACTTCTGGAAAAGTGAGGTCAGTTTATTCCTTGGAGTCCAACCCTGACCTTTGATTCTTCAGCAGCACAAACTCATTCCTTAGTGGCTGCTGAGCAGCTGCCACAGACTCCTGCCCTTTGTCTCACCCGTGTGATGTTTGGCTGACCATGCACCAAACTCTTTCAGCATGATTAATGAGAAAATACTTTGACTGTTTTGTTGAGTTGAATGTTTGCCAGTTTAATGGCTGAGTTCTGTTTCAGCATGGAATAAAATGAGTGTACAGACCGGGTGGAGGGGTTAGGCAAGGCTCTGTGGGTAGGGACAGGTATTGGGAAATGAAGCAAGACATCCTGAGCTATGATCGTTGTTTCACCTCCGTGCCACGAAGCAGTTGGGTTGCTGTGTGTACCTGCAGGTGACAGACCCTTCCTTGTTGGTAGGCCATTAAAGTAATTTTTTGCTCTGTGAGGACTTCTGCAAAGCAGCTCATATACAGTGGCCCTGAATTTTTGTTAGTCTGCTGTGACTTCAGCTTAGCCATGGGAAGTAAGCCTTAATTCTCTTGTCCTCTGCTCCATCTCATGACTGCACTGCTATCTTCGGGCCCCCTGACAGAGTTTACAGCTGCTCCTTTAGTTTGCCTTACTCTGAAGGCAGAAATGAATTCTTTCTCATACCACGCATTCAGACCTGGGTGGGTCTTTGCAGGGCCCAGCATGAATAAGTTAATGAGTAAATCTCAACTTCACTGGTTTAGGTGCAGTGTTACAGACACAGAGATCTCATCATTCACCAGAAAAAGAGTATTTTGTACAAACTGACAAGAAAAAAAATTGTTTTCAGAGCAATAGCATAGAGAATTTGTTTGGGTTGTTTCTTTATTACTAATGTTATGAAAACCTAATTAGCAGAGGTCATAGAATATATAGAAAAAAGAGAGCTGCATATGCCTGAGTGAAAATTGAACATCTGTATTTTGTTAATCTTCAGCATTCAGAATGGTTGCAAAACGTGTTGATTTTATCTGGCTCCTTGTAGACTGCTTGCTGTTGTAGGCACAAACTCACCCCTCCATCAATTATTGTAGCACAAAAGATCTCCTTACTTAAATTCTGTATGAATATTTGTCAGCCATTTTTCAAGTTTGCTCACCTTTTAGAATTGTTTTTTACAGAATGAAAGAGGTAAGTTGCATCTCTTAATATAAGCAGTAAGTTTTGGCTGCAGTACTGTAGTTCCTAAATACTAAATAATTAGTAGTGAAGTAATTAATACTTGTCTAAATGGAATTGCTTGTACTGTTTGCCTCAGTGTAGGACTTTGTCCTCTTTTTTTCTGTGTAGGAGATAAGAGAGACAAGAAAGCGGCATGAGCATCGCTTGGTCGAAGTGGACACCAGTCGCCAGCAGGAGTATGAGAACAAAATGGCTCAGGCCCTGGAGGATCTGCGAAATCAGCATGATGAGCAAGTCAAGCTGTACAAAATGGAGCTGGAGCAGACCTACCAGGCTAAGGTAACTGCTGCACTCCCCTTCTGGTGGGCAGGAGGTCCAGTCGGGAGATAGAACCATTTCCATCAGACCTGCTGTCTTTAAGGACACAGGTGGTAGTGATGTGAAGCTTTGTGATGATGTCCAAGTGGTTCCTCCTGTTCAGGTCACAGGCACGATTTCCAGCGAGGTTTAGCCCAGGGTAACAGCTTGGAACAGCAGTAGCCAGGAGAACATGTGGAACTGCTGCTCCCTGAGGACAGGGTGCGAATAGGGGATGTCACACAATAGCTGATACAGTAGTTTTTTTTCTGTGGTTTGGGGTTTTTTTGTTTTTGGTGCATTTGTGATTTCATTGGGGCTGGTGGTGGGGAAATCAGACAAGATACTGGATGCTTTTTTGACAAGTGTTGGTGTTGAAAACTGTGGTGTGCAGTTTGGAAGTGTGAACATAGTGAGGCGTAATTTGATGCAGAAGAATGCTCCTTGAACTTCTTAAAATGTAGGCACTGCTTTGTTTTACCTGCCTGTGCAAATCCTGAGTTAGCAAATCCCCGTTAATTCAGCTGGCAGTGTGGGGGAAGTAGTATGCTCAGTATTACTGGTACAGTTCCTGGCTACAAGTATGTATTTTTTTAATATTATTATTACCCTACCTGAAAAAATAAAGTAGGTGTCAGTTTTCTGGTTATGAAAATCCTTACCTGTAATTATAGCCACTTCTCATTCTCCTGTGGTGGAGAAATTATGGTGCTGCTAACATTGTTTTCCACGCCCTTGACTTTGAGACTCTCTTAAGAATTCTTTGATTTGCAGTTTGAGAAATACTGATCTAAAAAGTATTTAACTCTTTCTTAGGGCAGCAACAAAATAAGTAATAGGTATTAAAAAGCAAAATAAAGAACCTTTAGCAATCTTAGCATTATTCAGAGAGGTTAGGAACAACCAGATACTTGGATTGACTTGTCCGAAGAGGATCCAAAGTATATCCTTTGTTGGGAAAGACTGTTTGCAAAGTAGGTAGAGAAGGAAAAAATGACAAGATTTGAACAGGAGAGGAAGAAATTTTGTACAGTAAGGTTCCTATTGAAATGAGGAGGAGAGGGAAAGACAGGTTTAGTTGTCTGGGTAACAATGGTGTCTGTGTCCAGGGTCATACTCTCATCAGAGAGATCTTGGGCTGCTGGAGAATATGGTGTGGCATATGCCAAGCTTCTCCTTGTGTGCTCTTCCTCGCTGGGAGCTCTTTGAGCAGTGCAGTTGATGAAGATCAATTTCTTGAAGTCTTGTGCTGTGTGGTTAAGAACAATGTTCTGCCTGAAACTGTTCTTAGAGTTGGAGCACTTTGGTTCCTGTGTGGATTCTGTGGTGCATGTAGTAGTAGATAGTTGAACTTAAGCTGCAAAGCATGAAAAATATGCGTTTTCCAGCTACCTTGATGAAAGTTACAATGTAATGTGATCCTGCCTGAAGAATTCATGAAAGAGTGTAAGCATCAAGATCTTCCTCTTACTGAGGAAATCAGTAAATTGCTACTGGTCAGCTGAGATTTGGCACTAATGAAATGTTTTATTCAGCTTGCTCTCTGGGCATGCAGAGAACTGTTGGACCAGGACATAAAACTGGGGGCCTGTGTGATCATTCTGACTTCAAACAGGCTGGTAGTGATAACATAAACCTAAGCTTTGTAAGGCTATAATCCTATAGGAATAGAACTGAAATATGTGTTCTCGTTCCTTTAGAGTATGTCTTTGAGGTTCATAAACTTACTAGATTTCCATTTTAAATTATTTAAGATTAAAAAGCTTATATGCAGTACTGCAGGTATATTTATGAGATGTCTAACTTAATACAATGACTCGTGTAAAACCTGTCTTCCAGTTGGAGAATGCCATCCTGGCCTCTGACCAAAATGACAAAGCTGCTGGTGCAGCTCGGGAGGAGTTGAAGGAGGCTCGCATGAGAATAGAATCTCTCAGCTACCAACTTTCTGGCCTTCAGAAACAGGTAAAAGGCACTAAATCTGTTCTTATTTCTAATATAAAGCACTGTAATGTTTGAATATATTCAGATTTGTCCTCTTGTATTTTCTGAATTTTATGGAGAGAAGTGGTTGTGCTCTTTGTGGTCTTCGAATCATAGAATGACCGGGGTTGGAGAAGACCTCTGAGGTCATCTGGTTCAACTGTCCTCCAATCTCCAGTATTTCCCACTAAGCCATGATGTCACTACAACATCTGAATGTTTCTTGAACACCTCCAGGGTCTGTGACTCCTCCATCCTGAGGCCTGGCAAGGAGTGAAGTCGGGACTCCAAACTTCAGAAGAGTGAAATTCCAGTTGTTTAAAGGATCATTGGAAGAGTTCCCTTGGGATCTGTCCCTAGAGACAAAAGAGCAGAACAGAGCTGATAAATCCTTAAGGCTGATTTGTTAGGGTGAAAGTTCTCCATCTGCACGTGTAAGAAATTAGCCAGGGCAGGCAGGAAAGGCTGAGCTAGGATCTGCTGGTCAAAGTGGGGAGTAAGAAGGAAATACTTGGGATGGATGAAGAGCAGAGGTGATGTGCAGAGATGGGATCAGGAAAGCCAAGGTGAAACTGGACTTGGCAGGGGATACAAAGGATAACAGGGAGTTCTGTGGGTACACTTGTTAGAAGAGAGAGGCCAAGGAGAGTGGACCCCCTCTAATAAATGGGAAGGGAGAACTGGCTTCAACAGACTGAGATATTCAATTATTTGCATCAATCTTCACTGCCAGTCAGGCTTCCCACATCTCATGTCCTTGAACCTTTGGCAGCTGGGAGCGAAATCCCTCCTCCCGTAAGCAGATAACAAGTTCTTGACAACCTGATGAAATCGAACATGTACTATGGGGTCTATGGGGCCTGATGACATTTATCTCAGAATCCTGAAAAAACTGGCTGATGTGGTTGCCAAATCACTGTCCCTCACATCCAGAAAATCATGGCTGTTTGGTGAGGTCCCTGGTGACTGGAAAAAGGGAAATCACTCCCATTTTTAAGAAGGGTAAAAAAGCCTCATATCTGTGCCAGGGAAGATCGTGGAATTCAGTGCTCCTGGAAGCTGTATTAAGAGACGTGCAAGATGAGGAGTTGATACTGAAACCAGCAGGGCTTCACCACAGATAGATTGGGCCTGAGCAACCTGATGGCCTTCTATGAAGGAATGATGACATCAGCTGATAAAGGAAGACCAACAAATGTTACCTCATGTCTTGAGTTTGCTGATAACACCGAGCTGAGTGGTGCAGTTGGTGTGACAGAAGGAAGGGACGCCATCCAAAGGGACCTGGACAAAGTGGGTCTGCAAAGAAAGGAGGGAGCCTGGAGAAGATGCAGGGGAGACCTCATTGCGGCCTTCCAGTTTCTAAGCAAGATGAAAGATAGACTTTTACATAGGTGCATAGTGATAGAACTGAGGGGAAACAGTTCAAAGCTAAAAATAGGAAGATTTAAGTTAGATGTGATTGGGGAACTTTCCTCCCAGAGGGCAGTGAGGCCCTGGCATAGGCTGCCCAGAGGAGCTGTGGGTGTTCCATCCCTGGAGGTGTTCAAGGCTGGGTGGTCTGGTGAGGGGCAACCAATGCATGGCAAAGAGTTGAACTTGTATGGTCTTTAGGGTGTTTCCAACCCAAGCATTCTGTGATTGTGGTGGGATGGAGGTGATTTCTGTCCTGCATCCACATGGATACAACTAGGTTTTCTATGGTCCCTAGGCCAGTGCAGCAGAAGATCGCATTCGTGAGTTGGAGGAAACGATGGCTGGTGAACGGGATAAATTTAGGAAGATGCTTGATGCCAAGGAGAGGGAGATGACAGAAATGAGGGACCAAATGCAGCTGCAGCTTACAGAATACCAGGAGCTGCTTGATGTGAAATTAGCACTTGACATGGAAATCAGTGCTTATCGAAAACTCCTGGAGGGAGAAGAGGAAAGGTATGAGCTCTGTTTTCTTAGGACTAATGTTACTTTCATTTTTGGCTTTTTTTTTTTTCAATTTTAACAGAAATGCTCAGATTTTGTTTCACTGAAGTCACATTGTCTTCACACTGTGATGTAACCCCTAACAGGTGTAGAACACTTACAGCTGTTCTCATCTGAATATCTGCCTTATGTTTTGGTTTTCATGATGGTGTCAAAGTGCACTGGAATATATAATTCTGAACTCGACATTCATCTCCTCTTTTTAAGTGTTTACTTATAGGTCTTTTCCTGTTTTTAAGTGATCAGACACAAGAATAAGAATAGTGTACTGGAGTGTAAGTATGTAAGTAGTGGATGAGGCAGTCTGTGCTGCCCTCACCGTCGCTGCGTTTCAGGTCACGTATCACCCTGGACAGACCTGTTCCTTCATTTGCAGCCCCACTGACAGAACAGTGAAGCACGGCAGTCTGGTTACCGAGTTTTGTGCTGTTATTGCTTTGACCATCGCTCTGTGGACCGGCTAGAAAAATGTTAATTTCCTTCCATCTGATTGAAGTACTTGATCGTTTCCAGGCTGAAGCTCTCTCCCAGCCCCTCGTCCCGCGTTACTGTCTCTCGAGCCACATCCAGCAGCAGCAGCAGCAGCACTTCACTTGTCCGCTCTTCCCGAGGCAAGAGGCGACGGATTGAAGCAGAGGAGCTCTCGGGCAGTGGGACGAGTGGGATTGGCACTGGAAGTATCAGTGGTAGCAGTAGCAGCAGTAGCTTCCAAATGTCCCAGCAAGCTTCAGCTACAGGAAGTATCAGCATTGAAGAGATAGACCTGGAGGGCAAATACGTTCAACTGAAGAACAACTCGGAGAAGGTGAGTGTCAGCAGAGCTCCTTAAGGAGGAGCTAAACTGAAATGCTGCACTGTGTGTTGAGCACACATCACTTGAGAGAAATGGTACCTTTCAAGGTATGTCGTCTTGTAAAAGCGGCGTGGCATTTGAAAGGTGAATTTGCTACAGGTGTGATGTTGCAGGTTGAGACCATAGTCCTGAATGTCTGATCCCGTATGCTGGTGCTGTGCTGCTGGGAATGGCCTCGCTGGCTCTAGCAGAGCATTTTTTCGTGTGAAAAGTCTCTTTTAAGTTTTTGTTGAATGACCTTAACACGATTACTGGGTGTGGAAAAGTATTCTCAAGTTAGATTGCAGATGTCTAACAACCACATAAATAAATGTAATGAAGAGATGTAGCAAGACGTTTGATGCCTGTTTGCTCACCCTAAATAAATAACCTTACAACTCTCCTCACTAGGATCAGTCTTTGGGTAACTGGAGACTGAAAAGACAAATTGGAGATGGAGAAGAAATTGCGTACAAATTTACTCCGAAGTATGTCCTCAGGGCTGGGCAGACTGTAACAGTAAGTCATGTTCCATGTGTCAGCAACGTTCATCTGTTGATGTTGTGGCAGCTGTAAATCTGAAGTTTGGGGTGTAACTTTTGGACTTGTGGTTCTTGTTTTAGAGGAGCAGGACTTCAGTTGTAGAAAGGCAAAAAAAAGTTCCATTTCTGTATTAGCACTTCAGTATCTAAGGCCATTTAGCTGAAAAAGAGGTCTGTGGGGGGGGGAGGAGGCAAAGATTGTTGTTTATTTTATTTTTTTCAAGCACCTCTGTTGAAGTTTGGAATACTTAATCCTGCTCTACCCCTTCATGAAATAGGAACATTTATTTAGTCTGGTAGACTTGTGTTAAGTTTAATACTTGACATTCTCAGCTTTAACTGTAGTATTGCTTTTTGCGATTTTGTTTGACGTTTGGTCTGCAGCAGAATGGCTTTCCTTTAGTCAGCTGCAGTTATTTCTGCCTGAGTATTGATTGCTCAGATGCTTATCAGATGAAATTTGTCTGCACAAGCTGCATTTTACGTCCCTCCTCTAGGCATTGAGGCTGTGGTGGGAGTGACTGTGTTCAGGACTGATGACTGCAGCGTTAGATTTCTTTCTTCTTGCTATGGCTGGTGATAGCTGTTGTTGCAGACTGAGAGTCATGTCTTCCCACCAGCACTGATGTAAATTAAAGTAGAGTAAATCTACCACTGGGATTTGGAAGCAAAACTGATAAGGAGAGACAAGTGGGAGAGTTAGAAGGTTTGGGATATTTAAAAATGAAACGTGCATGAATAGCTGATGACTGAATGTCTTCTCACCAGATCTGGGGTGCGGATGCAGGTGTATCTCACAGCCCCCCTTCTGTTCTCGTGTGGAAGAATCAGGGCAGCTGGGGCACTGGAGGAAATATCCGCACATACCTCGTGAACTCTGATGGAGAGGTGGGAAGAGAGTTTTCTTTTCATTGTTGGAATTACAGCAGATGTTTCCATTTGGTTCCTATGTGTTCTGCATTGTCCTACATCTGCCCACAGCTGATTTTTTTTGCAATTCTATGGATGCACTTTGTGCAGGAACAGCAGCACGGGACAGAATAGGAGGGAGGGTCATTTGTACCACAGGAAGCTGGCTTAGAATTCAAACTGGAGAAACAGTTAAAATACTGTCTGAAGACATTTCAAATCCGTGTCCCTTCCTGCTGTGGTTCCCTTTGTTTCCTTGCTCAGGGTGTCTTGTTCCACAAGTGAAAATTTGCATCTGCAATTTCAAGGCTGCAAGCGCACAGTAGAATTCTTGTTACTAAGAAGTGCTCAAAAATAGTTTAGTAATAAAGGAAGCTTCCTGATGTTTTAAAATTCTTTGTAGTGCCTGATTAGGAAGACCTTCCTGGTAATTGACATGAACAGTAAAGCATAAAGACATAAAGCATTTAGCAGAAAGAATGGGAGTTCCTAATACTGTGTAATCATACGGAGAAACTTCAATTTCTGACATCACACATCTTGGGGAGCTCCTGGGTCAGTCTGCTGTCAGCTTGTCAAACCAACAAGCACCTGCTTCTCAAACACCTGCTAAAGAAAGGAAGCTCCTGAAGCTGCCTTACACCACGATGCCTTTTGGTAGCTGGAATGAGGAATGTTTCTGTGGCTTGCAGGATCTTCAGTGTTTGCTTATACAGCTAACTGTGATCGTGGGGCAAACTGATTTATATCATCCAAACATTACTGGGATTCCTATACTGATGATACAGCAAGAACTCAGAGCTGGATATGGACCACTAGTCATCTTCTCTTTCCTTTTGTGCAGGAAGTTGCAGTGAGAACTGTTACTAAATCAGTTGTCGTGCGGGAGAATGAAGAGGAAGAGGATGAGGCAGACTTTGGAGAGGAGGACCTTTTCAACCAACAGGTAATGAGATATAGACTGCATTTTTAATTTGTTTTTGGCTGGTTTGAACAATCAGCCAGGAGATAATGGGTTTCCCTTCAGTTTTCACTAGTTCTGAGTTTCTTGGTCCATTTTCCAATGGGTGCTTGCAGAAGATGATGCTAAGGCAGCTTGCAGCCGTGCAGCATTGCTACAGCATGCAGAAAGAATGTTCAAGGAATTGCTGCTTGAATCAGTAACTGTACAGCTCAGGCAGTGCCTAATATCAGTTTGGATGCTGGCTATCTATGGACGCACACTGCAGATCAGGTTTACAACACTACAATGACTTAAACTGTTTTTGGAGTTGGTAAGATGAGGTTTAGCAGTCAATAATCACTGGACTGCTGTTCCCTATCCCAGTATTGCTTTCTCTGAAAAAGAAAAAGCTATCTGTGGCATTCCTGCTGTGAGCAGAATGTAACCATTGGGAAACAGGAGCTCAAAAAACCAAGCAGTGGAGGGAGCTTCTGTTGTTTCAAGTTTGTTTATTTTCTGGTAATATTTGAAGTGAACTTGGGTTTCCTTTATAACATCAGCCCTGTGTTCTCCTAGCTCTCAGTTAAGTATTGTATGGTGACTAAACTGACTGGCTGTTGGCAGAGTGAAAAGGAGAAATATGCTGTGTACAGGGAATATTAGGAAATAGATTAAATGTATTTCAAACCTGACTGCTCGGTTCTTTGGTTCAGTGGCCACAAGTAGCCCTTCTCAAGAACTATTTCTCTGCAGGCTTGAAGTTGAGTTGTGCAAACTTCCTTTGCATTTAGCAGCGTAGTTGAAGCATAAGGCAACTGAAACACAAGTAATTTTTGCCCCCCAAGAAGCAGCTTTGCAGCACAGGTCTCTCTTGAAAGGAAAGATGTGAACTAAAGGAAGAGAACCTGTTAAGAAGCTGGTGGTGTTGTGATTTTCATTTGCCATTTTTGTCAGTGTTGAAAGTGTGGACGTGAAGCACTCAGCCCATCACAGCAGACCACGGCAGCAGTGTCTTACTCCTGTGCACAGACTGAGTAATGTGCTTCGTTTGCAGCTGCAGTGCTCCCTGAGCACAGCTGAACTAGAGGAAGGAGGAAGGTGCTGTTAACAGGGGGAGAACCAGAGTCTGGTGTTACAATACCAAGAGCTGGTAGGAAAGTAGTTAATGCTGTGTCTTTCTGATTTTAGGGGGATCCCAGAACAACTTCTCGAGGATGCTCAGTGATGTGAAGAAAGAAAGAAAAAAAAACTATTACTTGCTATTTTTTTCCATTTATTTCCTTTTATTTTTGCTATTTTTTTTTTTTCCTCCAGAGCCACTGAAAACTATTTTTATACGTATCATCTGATTTCTTTGATGGTTACTCCTTGGTACATTTTTATATAAAAAAAAATCTAAAAAAAAAAAACCTTTACTGAACAAAACTGCCAGAGTTTTTAATAGATTTCTTAATTTCTCTCTCTTTGTTGAAACACTGTATTGGAATAATTGTTTTTCCCTATACAGAGTTTAAAGTCTTATGCACAAACCTGCGGCAGAAATTTTTAGCTAAAATGGGACGAGACTTCTTGAGTGTATGGTGAACCTGTGCTTTGTGCATCCATGAGCAGGATGACTTAAAAACAAAGCTTAAGAAAGGATGTTTACCTGCAGGGCCTTGGGAGGTCGGTGGTAATGTTTCTCTGACCTTTAAGAAATGATAGGATCCTGTGGGTGCCCAGCTTGGAAAAATTATGCCCCAAATGCATTAGAAGTGCTTCTCCAGCAGTGGAAGTAATAAAGGGTAGCTGCCTTTTAACCAGGTCTTGGTTCAGGACTGTGGATTTCTGTGCTACTCCAGGATTTGACAGCCTGACGATCGTCTGAACCCCATCAGTGCTGTGGCTTCAGGCCATTATTTCAGGAGGTGGAGAGCTTCTGCTGTCTGCAGATGGGTGGGAGTGTCAAAAACAGACTTGTAATCATTGTATTCTCAAAGGATTTTGACATTGTAACAAATGAGATCTTGTTAAATTGTGAATGCAAGTCGTGATGTATAGTATTTATGATGTTAAGCATCATGATTTAATGATTTTGACATATTCAGCATTGAACAGAATGACTAAGATTTTAATGTTGAAAATATTTTTATTTCTGGCATTGATAAATATTTGGGGTTTTAAAGGTTATCTGTGTAAATGTTGATTTCTTTTTGTTTTGTTGAATCAGACCTAAATGCAGCTTATCCACACTTGTCTTACATCCAGAGGGCCGTTGTCAGACACACTGAGTGTCTGCAAAGTAGTACAGAAACAGCTGAGTGCCGTTTTAGAGAGTTAGAAGGAACTGCTGCTGCTGTGGATGGGAGCATTACTTTGCAGATCCTCACAGTAACAGTGGGTGATGTGAACAATCTTTTTTTTTATGAAGATGGTTTTTATTTCAGACGATGACTCTGGTATCTGACAGCGTCCCTTTGGCTTAAGGTTTCTTCTGCTGCACTTCTGTGGAGGTAGCAGTGGCTCTCCTAAGGCCAGCATTCAGATAGCAGCGCATCTTCAAGCACTAGGAAGACTTGACTGCCCCAAAGAATGCCTGGGCTGCACTCAAGCAGATGGTTTTTGCATTGGTTCTTAATTTGGGTGCTGTTGGCAGCACAGAACGCTGTTGTTACCTGCACTCTCGAGCTCTGACCTGCCGTTCAAGTAGTTGAGACTCATCAAACCAGCAGCGAGGTTTGGATGTTTTCGGTGGCTTTTGGACATTGTGTTCTCTGAACAACATTATGACTGACAGACGTAACCGAGGAGGTCATTGTAGTGGCTCTGACCGGTGGCTATGCAGTGCAAGCAGAGTGGGAACAGAAGTGAGATTTCTAAGCTTAGGTTGTATTTTTTGCCATCTAAAAATAAATTTGAGGCGCTACTTTTCTCTGTTTGGGTGGCGTGATTTAATTATGAAGTTAATGAGCGGAATTCAGATTTTTGTGTTAGTTCAGCAGGCGGAGCGTTGCAAAAAGCAGTAGGAAGCCTTGGCTGTTTGGGCTGGAGGGGTCGCTCCATGGCTGTTGTTGGCCATTTTTCAAGTGTAATTTTCCCACTCTGCTTGAGTAGAAGGTGAAATATGTAGTAAATCATGTCTCTCTCTCTCTGTAAAGTGTATCTAATGAAATTATGTTTCTCAGACATACTGTTAACCAATTGCCTTTCCTAAATTCATTGGTATACAAATAGATGCAATCAGTGTAAAAGTATTTTCACAGTGCACCTTCCAACCACTGGGCAGCATTTCCCTTTCTGACCCACACTTCTGTACCACACTCACAGTGTTTCAGAGCTTTTTGCAGTTTTTCCCTGTATTTATTTTTGTTTCACATTGGCCAGTTTTCAGGTTGCTTATTCTTGAGGGTTTTCCTGTAAATATGATTGCTCTGTGATCTTAAATTCTAAAGAAATGAATGTGCTTTTTCTTTTTTTTTTTTTTGCTTTTGATTTTTTTGTTTTTTGCTTTTTCTGTGAAGAATAGGCAGAAAGGCAGCTTGAATGAGGGGGAACCTCTTGCTACCTGAGCCACTGATTTCTTAACAGCTGCTGTATGGGAGACGTGTCACCTTCTAGCCCTACGGAGAGGTATTTTCTCTTAAACCCCTCAGTGACAGCATGCAGAATTTTTCCTTGGATTTCGAGCTGTTTCCTGTAAGTTTGGAAACACTTTCTTTACTTTTTTCACATATGGAGGTGCTCACAGAAAGCACTAATGTGGGAGAATCTGAATTCAGCAGGCAAAGTGTTGATGATTCACAGTGCCTTGTAAAAGGCAACCTAGAGTTTGAGAATAATTGCTCACTGTAAACTACAGACACAGGCAAACTACTGTATTCCACTTGTTTTCTTTGTGGGTGTCTGTCTGCTTCAGACAAATTTCCTTCCTCTTGCTTTTGATGCTGAGCTTTGGCATAACTTCAAGTTGGTGCTCGGCACTGGAGGATTTCTTCTGCTTTACTGAACCAAAAAGCATTGCTGCTGCTTTTTCTCTTCATCAGAGATTTTCTCTCTTCGTTTTCAGGATAATTGAAATGTTCTCCTCACGTAAAATCCAGTGCCACCTTGCACTCCTTTCCTGTGTAGTCAGGCACGTGAACCAGCTCTCAGGGATTTGGAGGATAGTCAGCATTTGTGCTCTGCTGTCTGATAGCAGGTGTGAAGCTTGAAGGAGATGTGCAGCGAACTTGTCAGGAAAAATGACCTTAAGGCTTCTCTGATGGGAGAAGTTAATCAGTGCAGTTTGTGTCAGTGTTTGAGAGTAACTACCCATAGAGAAGAACAAGGAACAGTTTTATTCTGGGTGGAACAGTGCAAATGAGTTCTGACTAACTTACAGTGGGGGAGTCAGGGGGAAGGAATAACAGCATAACGACAGAAAAAACAATTAAGCTGATCTTCTAACTGCAGATGGGCACAGTGGGGCTCTGTGGGGCCTCTGGCCTTTATGCTTTCCCCACACTTCTGTCTGTCTTGCTTCAGCTGTTGTGTTGCAGTGGCTTGCTCCAAGCAATGCAGTGGCTGTGATTCCTGTGTCGCTGCACACCTTTAGCGCACGGTCTGTGTGCATGGGCTGCTTCAGGCCCTGACCGAACCAGCAGCTGATCCTCAGCACCCTTCTGCCGTTAGATGGGCACTGTGTTTGTAGCAGGAACCAAAATTCTCAGGAAGAAAACAAACATCTGCTTCCCGTGGACTGTAATGGAAAAGCCACACAAGCTGGTCTGCAGCTCTCGTTAACCACCAAAGCTGGACTGCAGTGTGAAGCAGAGCAAACTGTGAAAGGAGATTTCCTTTTGTGCACATTTATCCTCGAGCAACAGGACGCCTCATGTCCAGTTTAGGGACTGTAGAGTTTTTTGTGCAGCCTTTTTCTTTGTAATCCTGTGTGAAGCCTTTTAGCTGCAGCCTGAGCAGGGAGTGGTTGGGAGAGGCTCCTAGAAATCCTCTCTATCCCCCAGAATGTTTGAGAACCTTTTTCTTCTGTGTGTACTAAGAAGATTGTGATGCTGTTTGCCAACGCTCTGTGCTGGGAGCCTTGTAGCCACTTCCCTCCCTTCCTTAAGCCATTCATTCTCTTTTTTTCTTCTTGAAATCTTCTCTCTAAACAAAGGAGTATCCATATTCCACCCTGGATTTCATTGCCACTGTTGGGTCCAAACCCCAAGCCCTGCGCAAGCAGGGACAAAAGCTCTGTTGTAAACCAGTGAGTGGAAGGTGAGATAGTGATTGCATTTCGGAATCGTTGCTGTAGCTGAACAGCAAGACAAATGAGAGGTGGTCGTTGGTCCGACGTCTCAAATGGCCTGGGAAACAGAATTTTAAATTGCGCTTCGATGTGCTTAGCTTTAAACCACTTTAAAATAATTTAAGTGTTTTTTATACAAAATCATATTTACATGCAATTATCATTTGTAAGCATAATGCCTTTCTTGAAATGCTAAGGTCTAGAGAGTGAATGGGACTCTTCATGTCACAAGACTCCGTTCAGAGCCACACGAGCAGCGCATGGACACGGAGTTCAGGAAGAAAGCGTTGTACTGGACCCACATTTCCCTGTTAACAACGTGATGATCCTTTGTCTGTAAGGTAAATGCTGCTGTGTATCTCAGCTGCCCAGTGTTCATCACACTAAAATCATGAGCAATAAGCTGTCTTAAGCAAGGCGAGGCCAAAGCGCTTTACGTCTGGGCAGAGCAGTAACTTCTCTATTCAGCTGTTCATAATGATGCTGGTGTTGCCCTGTGATCGAGTTGTGGATTTTGTTCTGCATCACCTTGTAGTTCTGGCAGTGTCACTGCCTGCACTCAGCTGCTGCCAACCCATTTTCAGAAGGCTCTCATTTTATTTAAAAGAAGGGATTGTGAGAAATGTACAAATCGGAAAGCAGGCACAAAAGGACGGGAGCGTTACATGGAGCTCATGAAAACTACATAATGATCTAGACTTTACCATTTCAAAATGTTGTGGTTTTATTTTCATTTTTTTTTCCTCTTAGAATATGCATGCCAAATGTCTTTTTCAATGATTTGTAATATACATTTTCAGACTGGAAACTTTTTGTACAACAACACTCAAATAAATGTTTTGCATTTTATTTGTTTCGTTTTGTTGAGGGAAATGCAGAGGGCTGTTGAGTCACCCTGTCCCAGGGGAGGACGGCTTGGTGTCCAAGAGACACAGGATCACGGACTGTCCACACTCCAAAAGGGGCTCAGTGGGATCACATGAGTGGAGTGGGTGAGCAATAAACCAATGGACCCTTTCCTTTAAATGTACTGCAGGCAGCGCTATGGGGAAAACGCTGCCCTTAGCACTGCAGAGAGCCTGCATAGCAGGAGCAGAGGAAGGCACCACAGTGAGAGCTGGATAGACTGCATCGATGGGCCAAAGTAAACTGAGTTTCAATAGGGCCAAGGGTCGGCTCCTGCATTTTGGTCACAGCAGCCCCAGGCAACCCTACAGCCTTGGGAGGAGTGGCTGGAAGCTGCCTGACAGAAAGGGACCTTGGAGGACTGATGGACAGGCGGCTGAATATGAGCCAGCAGGGGGCCCAGGGGGCCAGGAAGGCCAATGGCATCCTGGCTTGGATCAGGAATGGTGTGGTGAGCAGGACCAGGGAAGTCATCCTGCCCCTGTGCTCGGCACTGCTGAGGCCTCACCTCGAGTGCTGGCTTCAGCTTTGGGCAGCTCAGCACAGAAAGGACACGGAGGTGCTGGAGCAGGTGCAAAGAAGGGCAACAAGGCTGCGGAAGGGCTTGCAGAATATGGCCTGTGAGGAGAGGCTGAAGGAACTGGGGCTGCTTGGTCTGGGGAAGAGGAGGCTGAGGGGAGACCTTATGGCTCTCCTCAAGTACCTGAAAGGTGACTGCAGTGAGAGCAGGGCTGGACTCTTCTCACTGGTGACAAGACGAGGGGAAATGGCCTCAGGTTGTGCCAGGGGAGTTTTAGGTTGCACATCAGGAAGAACTTCTTTACAGAAAGCTTCCCAGGGAGGTGTGGGGAGTCAGCATCCCTGGATGTGTTTCAGAACCGTCTGGCTGTGGTGCTCAGGGACATGATTTAGTGGTGAATGGTTAGTTAGGGCAGCGTGGTTGGGCTGAGGTGGGACTTGATGATCTTGAAGGTCTTTTCCAACCTGAGCAATTCTATGATTCTGTGACTGTTGGCAAGGGAGAAATTGTGCACTGGCAGTGAAATCCGTTCTGTTCCGTGCCCTAAACCCGACGCAGGTAATGCCTCCCCTGGCTCTCCCTGCTTGAGCGTCTCAGGCTCACAATCTTCCCCACACTGTTGCCGTGATACATCTCCACCTATGGGCCGCTACCAACCTCTCGTCTTTAGGAATGCTTTGTACTTTGCAATATCTGCAGCGTTTTGAAGTTAGCACATCCGTTCTGCTTTGTGTTTGGACAGGAGAGCAATATTCCAAAGTTAGCACATCTCTCCTGTCCTGTGCTCAGCTCTCCCCATCCTTTGCCTGACTGTCCCCATGCCGTCCTGTGCTGTTCTCTCCCATCCTGCGTACTTTCCTTATCTTGTGCCGTCAGTCCTACCCGAGTCACTACAGCCCATTTCCAACTTCCCTCCGTCAGCTTTCTTTACGAATCAATAACGTTTAGGACTCTTTTGTAAGTTCAGCAAGGGCCCCCGCGGCATACAAAAAATAAAATAAATAAATAACTGGAAACAACAGGTTCACAGGAAGGTTCTAATTTCAGGAATACACCACATAGAAAAAAAACCTGGAAGCTTCTACTGCAGAAACACAATCTGCCTCTGTTGTGGTTCTGAGACTTTTTGTTGTCACTGTCGCACACCAGAACGCCGTGCGGAGCAGTGGGACTTCACGAGGGAATCTTCTGGTTGCGCTTCCCGCCTTCTACGGCACGTGGAGCAGCTGAGGGGGGAGGGGCGGCTTCCCGGAGGAGCAGGCGGGCAGCGGCAGCAGCAGCTCCGCTCAGGACCCGAGCGTCTGTCTGTGTCGCTCCTGCCCCAGCTCAGCCCTGGCAAACCTGTGTGCCTGGAAGAAGGCTGCGTAGAGACGTGTTGGCGTCCATCCCTGAAGACTTCAAAGGCAAGGCTGGAGCGGGCAGGGCGTCCGATGGAGCTGTGGTGTCTGTGTTCATAGTGGGGGAGGTGGACGAGATGGCCTTCAGAGTCCCTTCCAACTCTACGGGTTCTGTGGCTCCATGATTCTTTGCCCTGGGCTATGAATGGATGCAGTATTTGATGTGATCCATTCTCTATGCAACATGTGAGCATAACCCAATGTTTTTGGCCTGCGCCCCTACAAGCTTCTGAGGGTACAGGCACAGTTCTAAAGGCCGCCCATTGTGTGTCATCAGTGACATCACAAAGGGTGAGGGCAGCCTAGGTAATAGCCAAGGGAAAGCCAGAACAGTCGCAGGAGCGACAGCGACAGGAGCACAGGGACCTTCAAGGCTTCTTGAGCACAAGGACCTTCAAGGCTTCTTGAGCACAGGGACCTTCGAGGCTTCTTGAGCACAGTCCACTTCTCGCCATGCCACTTCCGCCTGCCCGTAAGAGCCGGCGAATCTACCTTTCCTTCTCCCCTCCCTTTGCCAGCTCTGGTTCTCAGTCTGGTGAGACGGAGGTGAGACCCCCCTGCAGGCCAAGGTTGGCTTGGCAGGAATGGCCTCCTGAAAAGGAGGAGAAGGAGAAGAAAAAGAAGATCACAAATCCACGTGAGTAACGGGTGGGAAGCACTGGGCACAGCGGTCATGCTTGATTCAAAGCTGGCACCCACTTCTTCCGGCACCTCCTTTCCTGAAACTCCCTTTCCCAGCATGGAGTCCAGCTCCAGCTAAAGGGAGCGTGGAACCACGGGATCCAGGAATGGTTGGGTGTGGAGGGACCTCAAAGCCCTCACAGGCCCAGCCCCTGTTGTGGGCTGGTTGCCACCCACTGGCTCAGGCTGCCCGCAGCCCCATCCTGCCTGGCCTCGAGCACCTCCAAGGATGGGGCAGCCGCAGCTTCTCTGGGCAGCCTGCGCCAGTGCCAACCTCTCCCAGACTGTTGGGATGGGTGCCGAGAGGCTGCTGGGCTGGCAGGATGTCAGGGAAGCAGGCAGGCAGGATGGCTCCATGCCATGCGCTGGGGCCGTTCTTTCGCTCACTCCTTGCCTTTGGCCCCTCTCTACGGTGCTCATTCTTCTCCTCTTGCTTAGGTATTCGCATCTTGGAGCTGTGGAGAGAAACAGCCATCGCATGCATCTGTGAGTTTCTGCAGAGAAAGGACAAGGTAAGAGCAGCTGTTTGCACTCACTGTGGAAACAGCCCCGGTTCTTCTCCAGGCCGCTACCCTGCAGGCATTGCACCGCGCCCCACGATGCTTGGGGTCCTGCTGGCCGTGGATCTCACCTTCATGCCCCCTCTTGTTCCCTCTTTGACTACCAGGATGTGCAAGAGAAAATCAAATTCCTGAGAGGCATCTGCACGCTGTGCAAATGCAGGGACACGTCGCTCAACTTGGATGCTTTCTGCCAAGAAAAGCAGCTGGCAGAGAATGTCCAGGTGGGGAGAAAGGCAGTGGGCTGGAAAAGGGGGCGTGGACCCCCTGTACCCTTTTGTGGACAAGGCTGGCACGGGGAGAATTGAGCACGGACACGCAAGTGTCCTCTGGTAGCTGCCACGTCCCATCCATCCCATCCCTCCTGTGTTCTGCAGGCGCTGATCGATGAGGAGCCCAAGCACACTTTGTCCTCGGAGATAAAGCAGGAAGCCATGATGAGCTTTGCCAACATGAGGTAGCTGCCCAGGCCCACATTTGGCTAGCACGGCCCCAGGGCAGGCTGCTGGCGGCCCTGAAGCTGGCAGGGAGGCTTCCTCCTGCCCGTGGAGGTCCACGTCCTCCTTCCCGTGGCCTCGAGGCACGGTGTCCAACGGGCTTCTCTCTCCCCTTGCAGCACTGTGGAGACAGCGCTGGAAGGCAAAACGGAGAGCATTCTGAATTCCTGCTTCAACAGTGTCTTCTTTTTGCCTCCGGAACTGAGCATACCAGCAAAGGAGAAAGAACTCTACAATGAGGTGTGTGCTGGGTGAGCCACCGGAGCGCCAGGTCCCTTTGGGCTGCTCCCTGGCTCCTTGTGCTGAGACCGCAGGAGAGCCAGGCAGGGCAGGAAGCCAGCTTTGCTTTTCCACCCTCGTCTCGTCTCTTCTCTGGGGATAGGGTTAGCATGAGGCGCCCCGTGAGGTGCCGCAGGCGCCCTTCTGCAACTCTCTGTCCTCTTGCAGACCATGAGGGCCATGGGCATCATGCTGGAAGCCTTGGTGCAGAACTGCCCCAACAGGAGAATGAGCGAGGAGCTGCACAGCATGTTTCAGGTCTGGCAGGCAGTTGCAAAGAGCGGGGTCAGTGGGAGGGATGCGAATGTCCCTACTGCGGTGACACAGACCCTCCTTGCACGTGAAGGTCCTGCAAAGGATCCTGCCCCTGCTGCTCTGTTCTTCTTCCCCCATGGGGAAGATCCCAGAGCTCCTGCTGGAGCGGCAGAAGCTCCCAGGGCGAGTACCAGCAGATTCTCTCTTTGCAGGCTCTGCTCCACTTCCTCAGCTCCCAGGATGTGCATGTCCGTACGAGAGCCCTGCGTGGGGTTTTACAGATGATCCGTAATTTTATGGAAAAAGTAAGGAGCCAGGCACCCTCCAGCCAGGCTGTCTCCCATTCTCCATATCCCAGAGCAGCTCAGGGGTGCCTGCAGCGGGGCTGCGGCTGGGAGCTCTCAGCAGGGCTCTGCCCCAAACAAGGGTCCTTGCCCCATCTTTGCCCCCGCTCTTCCCTCTCCAGGCCCTGCTCTGCTTCCACTCAGCCCTTCCTCTCTTCTCCTTCTCTCACCCAGGACTGGGAGGGCCCTGAAGCTTACAAGCCACTCATTGACTTCTACTTCCCAATCCTGGGAGAGCTGCTGGGTCACCTCAGCCTTTTCAACTGTGGCTACGAAAGCACCAGAGCCCCAGCTGTACAAGCGCTTCATCGCCTCCACATGTTTGTCAAACGACAAAGAAGTAAGACAAGATGGGTTGGGCAGCATCTCTGCTCCTATGTCTGCTCCTTTCTCCTATTCTTATGCTTTGTGAAGCCTGACCGTGGAGTCCGCAAGCTCTCTGAGCTCCTTTACTCTTACGAGCAGCTTCACCATTCCTAAGCTGCCTCTTGCTCCCAGCACCCATCTCCTTTAGCTGTGTAATCCCTTTCCTTCACTCTCCTCAGCATGGGTCCCATCAACCCATGTCTGCTCACCATTGGTCTCCGTGCTCAGGTCTCCTACACCACGGGTCCCCTCTACCGTGGGTCTCCTCAGAACTCCGTTTTCAGCTTAAAGCACCGTTCACCAATTGCTGAGTTTGATGGCAAAGACACAGTTTCCTTCTGACTCTTCTGTGTTCCCTCCCTTTTAGGAGCAAGCCTGTCAGCGGAGATGGAAAACTACGTGCGTCTCCATGAGAAGCCGGAGGGTAGAAAGTTCAGAGATAATGACTTTCCCACTCCCAAAGATTGCGCTGAGGTAACGTTCTGCCTTGCTGAGGATCTTGTGCTTAGCATCAGCAGGAAATGTCTGTGAGCAAGGGGAGTGCGAGGGCAGCAGATCCAGCCCTCCTGGCTGGAGGACCGCAAGGCCTTCTTACCAAACGCCCATGCCCCCACCTGCAGTCCATCTCCCAGAGCCCTCTCTTGCCATCCTGCCCCACGCAGTGACGGAAGCTGATGCTGCCAGCTTTCCTACAGGCTCTGCTGCCCAGCATCTCTGCAGAGCTGCTCTCCCTGCACTGGAGTGCTCAGTGTGGCATCTCTTCCCTCCCCTGCTTCCACCCACAGTTGTTTGGAGGATACCTCAGGCCTGCTGAGAGGATGGACGTCGTCCTCACAGCCCTTCAAGCGCTGGTTGACTCCAGCATCTATGACAAGGAGGCGGCCTGCAGTGTGATGGCCGTGGCCATGGAAGACCACGCCTTCTGGATGCCAGATGTAAGCCCCTTTTGGCCACTGCCCCATCCTTGAGCCCTTTCAGGCGCTGTTCTTCCCTCCCCAGCCGAGGCCTCTGGGGCTCCTGAAGCCGTTCTCAGCGATGGGAAGTGCAGTGGTTTCAGCGGCACCTGTGCTAATGGTTGTGGTCTGTTCTCGCGTGTGTCCCCTTCAGAAAGCCCAGTTCATGACCTTCATCCGCAAGAACTTGAGGAGCATCACCACAAAGGCAGCGCGGCACTGCCTGGACTCCCTGCTCCTCCTTCTGACCAGCCAGATGCCCACGGAAGAAGTCAGGAGCCTGCTGAAGTCCTCTCCACCAAGCGACAGGTACTGTCCTCAGCAGCCTGGAGGGCTTCTTCCAGGTGCCCTCCTGCTCGCCCAGGGCTCTCCAAGCAACGTGGGCCTGCAGGGTTTTAGCTGTGCTAAGGTAGCTCTGCCTACAATGTATTTGGGCTTGCAGCAACGCCCTGGACCCGTGGGAGGTGATGCTCTGCATGCCGCAGACCTTGGAGAAGGTCTTGAAGGAGGTGACCAAGGGCTCACAGCTGAGCAGGCTGGTAGAAGGAGTCACAGAAGACACCTGTATCCTCTTCTTGGCTGTGAGTTAATGGAGAACAGTTTGCTGCCCTTCGGGGCTGCGTGTGCCCCTGCAGGCTCTCACCTGGCTATGTCTATGTTTCAGCTAATGGCAAAGAGTGAAGATAATGAGGACTTTTTTGGTGACCTGCGCCACCTCAAGACTTTTCTGAAGCATCCAAGCGTGGAGATGCACAGCGTGGTGCTCAGAGGGCTTGTCGTACTCTCCGAGACACGGGAGAAGGTGAGTGGGGCGTTGTCAACCAAAGCGGCACTGGGCTTCTTGGGCAGCGACGGGAGAAGGGTGACGGTCACGGTGGGGCCTGCTGGCTTTGAGGAGCTTTGAGGATGGGACGTCAAAGCCCAGTAAAGTCAGCTTTTACCGTGGGCTAGTTGTCACCTACCAGAGCAGGTTGCCCCTGGCCCCATCCGTCCTGGCCTTGGGTACCTCCAGGGATGGGGTACCTACTTCTCTGGGCAGCCTCACCGCCCTCTGAGAAAAGGATTTCCCCATTGGCCTTGCGACTGCCGTGCCCGCTGCCAGCAAGTGAAGCAGGAGACTGGAGCTCAGAGACGGGAGCCTTTTGCCCAGGCGGTCGTTCCCGCATCAGACAAAGGAACTTGCGTTTCCTACAGGCAAGAAAAATGCGGGTGGTGCTGCCAGAGATCATGGCCACCCTGCAGGATGCCAGCGCAGACATCAAGATGAAGGCCCTGTTTGTCATTCAAAACATCATGGGCTGCGTGAAGAGGAAGGAGGCCAGCTCCATCGCCGTGCAGCACGCCGAGAAGCTCCTGCCTCTCTTTGTCGATGTAAGTGAAGCTGCTGCAGGAGGCAGAGCCCTCGCAGGGCACTCTGCAGTGCCCCCGCCTCTGGCCCAGCTGTGTGGGCAGCACTCGCATCGGGCCCTCTCCCCTCCCCGCTCCTCCTGGGGCTCCTTCCGAGCAGTGGGACGGCTGTGGGCCCTCGGAGAGCCCCGCGCCCAGCATCTGCTCCCCACCCTTGGCTTCCGGCCCTCCGTGCCTCCTCCGCTGCCTGTGCAAGGCCAGGCCAGGCCTGGTCCCCACGCACGGTGCAGGAAGGCCCGCAGGCGCTGCGTGCCACGGAGGCCGTGTGAAGGCGGCCCGGCCTCCTCGTGCTAGAATTCTCTTCCTTCCTCCCTCCCTCCCAGGAGTCCAGTGCCGTGCAGGTGTCCTCCATCCGTCTCTACAGAGACATGGTGCAGGCCGTGGTCTGGTGCCACCGGAGCAGAATGAAGGGGACGGTGCGCAGAGGCCTGGTCCCACTGCACCTTCGGATGCACGATGAGAACCAGGACGTGGCCCAGGTACAGTTTTCCGCCCCACCGAGGGCACGTGACACCGTTTGGGTGCTGTGGGTGCCAGGGTGCGTGGCTGCTGCCCGAGGCCCGGAGGACAGGCCCAGCTCCCTGCCGTTCCTTGCACCGGAGCAGGCGGCGGGGTCGTGCATCCACAGCCTGGGCTCCGAGCTCTGCTACCCGCAGCCTGGGTGTCGAAGGCCTGGGACAGAGCCAGCTGGGAGCCCAGCGTTGTGCTGGGTGACCACGGAGGGGCTGCGGCTCCGTGTCTCTGTGTGGCCATCACGCCCTGCTGTCCGTGTTCTGTTCCCTTCCCACAGCGTGCTGGGAAAAGGCTCCCGGCCCTGGCAAGAGGAGGGCGATGCCGGGTCTCCTTCCTCGGGCCTTGGTGCCATCTCCCAGCTTCTGCTTCCCCACAGGCCGCCAGGAAAGCCATTGTACAAACGGCCCGTCTCCTGCGCTGGAACGACCTCCTGGAGCTGGCTGAGAAACAGGAGACGTGGAGGATCGCGCAGTGCTTGGTAAGGAGAGCCCCAGAGCCCAGAGCAACAGGAACAGCGCGGGGAGCTGGGGAGCATCTGCAATCCCCATGTTCTTATGCTTTCTCCAGCTGCAGCGGGACCAGAGCAGGGCACAGGAATACCTGCAGCAGAGCCAGCCCTACCTGCAGGACCCTCAGGCCGCCGTGCGAGTGGAGGCCGTGAGGTTCATTGGTGAGCCACAGCCCCTTTGTCCCTCTTGGCAGTGGTTGACGGTCCCAGCCACTGCCCTGTGGCCCTAAGAGCCCCTTGAGTGGGTCCCAGGGCCCTGCTGCCTTGCTCAGGCCGCCCTCGGCCACTCTCGTTGCTGGGGAGCAGTGCGGCTCTGCTGCTGGCAGCAGATCTGACGGGTGCTCTGTGCCTAGGGCTTGCTGCACGCTACTCAAGGGACCTGAGCGAGAAGCAGCGACAGGACATCATCACGGGTAAGTGAGGGCTGTGGTGTGTGTACTGAGGCTGGGGGCAGAGACTCCCATGCCTCGCTCTCCTCCAAGGAAATTCTTGGGGCAGAGGGCGATACAAAACCACAGAGTCCTAGAAAGGTTGACTTTCAAGCGACCTTAAGGATCTCAGAACCAGGGAATCCTAGAGAGATGGGACCAGAAGGGACCTGAGAGATCACGCAGTCACGAGATCCTAGAATAATTCAGTGGAAAG